ACAAGTGTAGTATACTCGGTGAATTTTCAAAGTTGATTTTCTCAAAAACACGCAGTTAGGTTTGCCAAGTGTAGCGGTACAGTATCGAGGATATTGTAATTTGCTTCTTTAATTGAAAAGAAATGGTTCGCAAAGAGTTTGCTCCGTCTAATGAAACTGTCAATCGGCAATTTTATCTTGAAGATTTTTCGACGTGTTCGACTTGAAATTGCTTCTTTGTGGATCTTGCGTGGTGACAATGCTCTCTCAAATTTAGCCATTTTAGTGAAAGAGTTTTTAAATTCAAAATTGGTCACAACGTTGGAGGAATCCCTGTACTCGTCTCTGACTTCTGTTTATTTCCTCGAGTAAAAGGTGTCACGAGAGGAAAACACATTTTCAGCCAGTTTCTAAGATTCAAAGTAAGGCAATGCGGGTGTTAAAACAGATACTAACGTAGAAAGTGAGTACCAGAAATGTTACGATCAATGTGTCCGACGCTGGAACGAGTGTGTACAGTCTCAAGGCGAGGAACTTCACGTCAGTTTAATTCTCCAAATTCAATTGTCACATCCTGTAATTTAAGCATTTTTCCACGTGTTCTGATCTATCCAGGAAAACTTCTTCCATGGACGTTTCAAAGCTAAAATTGTAAATGTTAGGTTGTCCGGAAAGTTCCTTTCGTAATTAAAACCATCGTATCTCTGTTTCTAATTGATACAGTAACAAAAGTTAAACGGTACTTTCCTCGACAGTTAAAGGTGCATCCAAAGCACTGTTCAAATTCTTTGTAAGACGAACAGGGATGGATATAAGTCGAACTATGTTCTCTGCATTGGAGCGAGGATGTTGAATTTTCCTTGGCAACGCTCCATCGCAGAAAATATAGTTCGCTTTAGGAGTAATTTCAGGGATACGTCGGATTTACCTTCAAATAACGAGTAAAACACCTTTTGGTTTCTATCGCTATCTCAATTAGAAACAGAGATATATAAGTTTGAATTCTTCCGACATTTCGCTACGAACTTTCCGAACCACCCGGTATGTACTTCCTCGTTCACCTTATGAATAATTTGAGGAGTGCGCTGGGTTCGTCTTCGAATAACGAGTAAAATACCTTTCGGTTTTTGTCGCTGTCCCAATTAGAAATAGAGGTACGTCAGTTTGAATTTTTTCTTAAATTACGAAACGAACTTTCCGGAAATTAGAACAGCAGAATTAATGAAAACGTTAGTCCAGTGTTTTAGTAAAATTCATGAATCTATATTGTCAACAGCTTTTATCACAGTTTTACCAAATTTAAGTTTCTATAAAAAAGTTACGCAAAAATCCCCATTATTCGTCACGTCAGATAATAACGTCCAAACACTTGTACTTATGAATTTGTTTACTATTCAATACACGCGTGCTAGAGCAATTTCATTCATCCTGACTATCCTGTATAAAAATTTATGATAAAACGAAATTTAATATACCCTTGCTCGACGCTGATAGCGACGTAACTCGAAAACTGTGAACTTTAGAGGAAAAGCAGTTTAAAATTTGCATTTGATCAATAGCTGAATACTGATCGCGTAATCTGATCTGCTCTCCGGTATGAAACTAACGAAGTTAGGAATGTACCGTTTCAGATGATAAAAATACCGTATCTATGCAATCTATCTGTGCAAAAAGATCAATATCGACACTTTCTGAGTTATGCAGGTGTCAATGCCAATCAGCGATCTAGTATCGACTCGTTAATTTCAGTTGTTGAAAAAACGTGATTTCATTTGCAACGAACTAACAGTTAACACTGTGCGTAAACAGTGAGATTTAATTTCGTGCATAATACGAACAGAACCTCTTATCATAGGTATAATAGACAAAGGAAAGCTTAAAAACGTTAAACGAGTTAGGATAATGCACAAGGATATCCGTGTGATTGACAGTGAGATTATGTTATTTGTCGGTTATGGTATAATTGCAATCGATGAAATATTTATCAGCCCTCAGACTACTCTTCATGCTTGAGTAGTTAGACAATCCTTGACACGAGTCGTGTAACGTTGAATCACGAAAGTGAGTTCAGCGGTTTATTTCGTAATTTTTGTGAATGAAAATTGTGTCACAGTGATATTAATCACACACAGTGAAAAACAATTATGCATATGTACAATATTAAATTTCCTGAAACAATTTGGATCTTTCGAGATAGTTCATTGAACTTCTAACATGTTCCTTGTCATTTAAGCTAAACGAATTAGGTGTTTTTATTAGGCGTTTCTTGTTTCGCTAAGAATCTGAAGATTAAAGTGAAACTGAAAATGCGAAATCTTATTTTGTACACAAAGATCGAGTCGAAATATTTTCATTCGTTGCATTTAACAACAGCAAGCGCTAATCTGACAATAGGAAAGTTATATAGGGGAGAATCGTGCAGTACCGGGCCACTTTAAGCTTTTGTACTACAACTTGGGCTGATGTTGGTAAAAATGAAATTTGAAAAAAGTAATTTGTAGTACAAAGGGTGCTTAATAAAAGGGGGCAAATGGTTTTTCTTAAATTTTCTCATAAAGATAAATAATTGGTAGAAATGAAAAAGTTGTAATTTGCAGCGAACGAAAAATTGTCGTACAGTACCGGCCAGCTACTTAGTTGGTAGATTTTAAGGTCTAAAAGTAATAAATAGCGTTAGTAAAAATCATTTAAAAATAGAATAGAACTTTTATTTAGGCATCGATATTTTCTTGATCCGTACACTCCACGTGAGCCCAACCATTGCAGCTATGAAAAATAACTTTCGTCGTACGGAACACCAGCGTAAACGTTAAACGTCTTAGAGCTCCCGGTGATACTGAAGAAAAAAGAACGTCGCCGGAATACGTTGCTCAGGGCTATAGTATTTATTTGTTTATTCATCAATAGTGCAGTCAACTAACAGTATAAGCGAGATCTAGCTTCGGCCGGTACTGTAGGCTGACAGGTACTGCACGACTCTCCCTTATCTACAGATTTTTTTCAAATTGCACAGATTGTGTGCAGTGAATTTTTTATGAATGAAAATACCACGATTATTAACGAAGTTTTCAATATTTCGTTGCGTATTTGCATTATTATATGACTGATGACGTTTATGCAATTGTAACATCAAAAATAGATGCAAAATACATAAGAACAAGATTGCAATCTCGCTGAGTGTACCTTGAGAGATTCTAGTATTACCTATGTATCATTTAATTTATAGCAACTGTCACGCAATATTTTTATGAATCAACTACGATCGTAAAGTAATATAGCGAGCTACATATTTATGCGCGAAATATGCAAGATATGTGCATATGTTACTTAACTATGCAAAATGTTTGTTGCATTTCCTAGATCTGCTTACGATAAGATCCATTTTTATTCTAATCCCACTTATTCATCTGCTTCCTATCAAAATTTACATTTGCATAGATATCGCACAGCTAAAGGTAATTAATCTGAATTACTTTTTTATGAAACAAATTTGCGGCAGGAATATTCAATTGGAAATATGTACATTGATTTCGAGGTTCTGTATTATTCGAGGTGCTTTGAATTTGAATAAAATGAAAAAGTTATACTTTTTTTTAGTGTCGATGGGTGTTCACAGCAATACTGTACATATATTACTATTATTTATTTGATAAATAGTTAATTAAACTTGTGCACCGTTATTTAGTTCGTGTTTCGTCCGTTGACCGTTAATGGCCTGGCTTTATCGCGCGTGAAGGTATGCCACATATTTCCAAGGGAAATGCTCCGTTGACGAAAGTGACAAATGCAACAATTGCGATAAGGCTCGCCACGTTGCAGTTTCTCCTGGTGTGTATGATTATCCGGATTTAGGTCGATCGACGTATCATTTCGTCTTATTCGACGTCGAACAATCTCTTACAGCACCTCGTGTGAATCTGATGTACAGTCTGTTACAAAAGTCGACTCTTAGGGTACGTTTCCATTTGAGAGATCTTTTTGTTGGCAGTGGGTGTGAGTTTTATTATATTTGCTTTTTCAGCACATACATAAAACGAAACATGCAAAAGAGAACCGAACAGACGTGAATAAATAAACAATTGCCCTTCTACACCAGTGCACCCTACTTACGGTAGTTGCTGCTCTGGAGAGTACTTTCAAATTGTGCTCAACTCTTCAGAGGCACTCTCAGTACCGTGTACTATGCGGAGCTCAGGAGTTTGCCCTCGGGGCAACACAGGGGCAAGAAGGGCAACTTCGCTCGCAGCGCCTAAATCTCGCGTCACGTAATTTTAATTGGTCCGATTCGTCGATGTTATTGGCCCTTTTGGCCAATAATGACAATACGTGTGTCCTATTTTTATGGTTGTGTTAGAGAAGGTGGGTTTATGGGGATATGGCCCAATCAAAAGCGCATTCCTTCCAGGGGCAAACTCCTGAGCTCTGCTTACACGGTAAGTGATAAGTTTGACTCTGAGGAGAATCTCGCGGTAGTTTGACTCTCAAATCGAAACGTATCCTGAGGTGAACGTGTTCGAGAAATACCTTAACCCTTTCATTACAAATGGCGCCTATAGGCGTTTTGAAAATTTGCTTGCACTCTACTGTTGGAGCGTTTTGGTGCGTTTCCACCTTAATTCAATACTTAATTTTGTCCTTCACGCACTTCCACCTTAATATCGTTATATCGTGAACAATGAAACACAAATATATACACCAACCTAACATCGAAGTAACTAATTTTCTCTTGAACAAGTATCTCTGGTCAATTTTCAGTAACGCCTTCTCGGAGTTCCTGAAATCATCATCGCTTTACGATGACCACGATCCATCCGAACTAACGTCCGGAATTCTTCTCTGAACACTGGTCACAACAGGAAGTCTGACGCGCCATCCAGTGTCTCCACGTCGCGATGATGTGACGAAAAGATGTGACAGACAAAGCGGAGGGCAAGGAATCGTCGCGTTCGATGATAAGAGAGGGCGAAACTCGCGGCGTGTCTGTGTTGTGAAGATCGAAGCGAAGAACAGTGGGTTGGAAAATGCCTCGACCTTCGAGGGATACTTATGGCGATCAGAAGCCGCCCTATTCTTACATTTCGTTGACCGCGATGGCGATCTGGTCGTCGAGGGACAAGATGCTGCCTCTGGCCGAGATCTACAAGTTCATCGCTGATCGGTTCCCGTACTATCGAAAGGACACTCGCAGATGGCAGAACTCTCTGAGGCATAATCTGTCGTTCAACGACTGTTTCATCAAGGTAAGCGGTTACTTTTCATTTATTACGAGTACACCGGATTTGTTAGAAATTTCACGAGACTGATAGCGTGGAAATGTTGGACTCCGGATAGTGGAATGTGTACAACACTTTTAAAATCTTAACAAGAGGTTTGTTCAAGTTTCTAACACGTTGGGAGTCGCACGATGATATTGGAAATAATGATTGGTGTCGCTTTTGAAGTAGCTGTATTTGTAGGGTTTAGATGAAGACGTGGAAGGGATTAGAGAGGGGTTAAGGTAAAAGGTCTAGGAAAAGTGGCAAAAGTCCTATAGAGGGGTTATTTATAGGGGTGGAGAAATATGTTGAGAATGTACAATGACGTTTTGTTTGCACTGAGCCTTTGTTCCCGTGTGAGCTGAGGTTGCAAATTGATCGAGGTGTGGGACACGGTTGCAGTAGCAGGAAAAGAACTTTTATATCGTCGAACGGTGATTTTTATGTAGCAAGATAATTTTATTTCACAATTCATCTTCGAAACTTGAATGCACACATTGTTGCAGTCCCTATTCTCGAATGCAACATCGATAGAAGTACTATTTCGCTTTTATTTCACAGTTTATCTTCGAAATTTGAATGCACACATTGTTGCAGTCCCTATTCTCGAATGCAACATCGATGGAAGTACTATTTCGAATGCAAAACATTGTTGTACGCGTTACTTTTCAATGCAACATTGCTTGAAGCGTTATATTTGAACGCAAACATTGTTGGAATCTCTATTTCTGATTGCAACATTATTGGAAGCATTGTTTCGAGCGTAAACATTATTATAAGCACTACGCTTGAATGTAACATTGTTACAACCGTCATTCTCGCTTGTAACAACGTTAACTTGTATTATTTTCGAATGCACATTGTGGCAAACGTGTGATCGAGTTTGCAACATTGTTGCCGAGAATCGTTCTCGAAAAACGCACATTGTTGCACTGTGCGCCGTTTTGCAACTTTGTTGCCGCGAATCGCTCCCGAAAATTGCACATTGTTGCAAACGCGTTATCGGGTTTGCAACTTTGTTGTCCCGAACATTGCACATTGTTGCCCGACGCGCCGTTTTGCAACTTTGTTGCCGCGAATCGCTCCCGAAAAAAGCACATTGTTGCAAACGCGTTCTCGGTTTGCAACTTTGTTGTCTCGAAAATTTGCACATTGTTGCACGGCGCCTCGTTTTGCAACAATGTGCATTTTTCGGGAGCGACACACGGCAACAAAGTTGCAAAAGGAGAGATCGCGCTTTGCAACTTTGTTGCCGCGAGTCGCTCCCGAAAACAGCACATTGTTGCAAACGCGTTCTCGGCTTGCAACTTTGTTGTCTCGAAAATTTGCACATTGTTGCACGGCGCCTCGTTTTGCAACAATGTGCATTTTTCGGGAGCGACACACGGCAACAAAGTTGCAAAGCGCGATCTCTCCTTTTGCAACTTTGTTGCCGGGAATCGCTCCCGAAAATTGCACATTGTTGCAAACGCGATACCCCCTTTGCAACTTTGTTGCCAGGAATCGCTCCCGAAAATTGCACATTGTTGCAAAACGAGGCGCCGTGCAACAATGTGCAAATTTTCGAGACAACAAAGTTGCAAACCGAGAACGCGTTTGCAACAATGTGCAATTTTCGGGAGCGACTCGCAGCAACAAAGTTGCAAACCGAGAACGCGTTTGCAACAATGTGCGATTTTCGGGAGCGATTTTCGGCTACAAAGTTGCATATCCAGAACGCGTTTGCAACATTGTCGCGCGAGTCACAATGTTGCAAAACGGCGCGCCGCGCAACAATGTGCGTTTTTCGAGAACGATTCGCGGCAGCAAAGTTGCAAGCGCGATCTCCCCCTTTGCAACTTTGTGTCGCGCGCGCGATTCGCGAAAAAAGCACAATGTTGCAAAATGCGTTTTCATGTCATGCGTGGTCAGTTATCAGTAGAGAGCGTACGTTTATGCAGTTGTGACATATCAAAGTATGCAAAATATATTCAAAATATACTTAAAACACATACAAAATATATGTAACATATATTTAAAATATATTCAGAATATACTTAAAACATTTACTTAAAACGTTCCCCGGTCTTGGAGTTAAACTGTATTCTTAATTTCACGAATCGCAACTCCAGTAAGAGTAAAACTTTACCAACTTCGATGATTATCGTTACGGAGCGAAGTAATTAATGATCGCAATTAGATCGGGCAAAGTAACGATCTACACTTGGTTACGTTTGAGAACGAAGTGGAACCTTTATCGAGAGCATATTTGATTTTCATACATTGGTAAAAAATTCGTGTATTGTGCAGAGTTCTTCTGGACATTATAAAGGAAACAGAGTTTGTCTAAATAGGCGTTAGTGAGAATGCAGCGTTAGTCTAGGCGTTACAGATCTTTTTGCCGGACCCTGTATTACGATCCATGAAATAACGAGGTCGTAAAATCATGTTTAGTCGAAGCAAACTTGTTTCGGGTGTCGAGACAATCGAGTAGACAGAAATATGAGCAGTTAACCCTTGCGCGGAGATTGTAAATTTGGGTAAAACTGACTCAATATCGTATATTTATGGGAAATTAGTGCAAAAACGTTGGAGCTCAATTCGTTACATTATTATGGCTTAATATTGTAACGATTTATTAAACTCGTACAATATGATTTTAATATTATATTGAAGTTATAGGAAACATTGTCGCTTACCTTGCCGGTTCTTGATCACTTACTACATAATTCTGATCACCTTGAATTTTTAGAGATATGGGAAAACTTTGTATACAAAAGTCGCATGGTGCGAATGGGGCCACAACGTCGCAGTCATAATTTCTTTTTTGTAATTGGAGAGTCTCCGGAAATTTCAAGGTCTCCTCCACTTTTTTAAATTGCTTGTCGTAGTTTTTCATTCCTGATAGCGTAGAGCAACGAAGCTTGGAAAGGGAAGTAACCTAACCTCGACAATGAAAAGAAACGATGAAAATATTAAATTCCAAGACAGTTTTAGGATGGCTCGTATGTTGTGTTACAAATGCAGCAATGTTCGATAAGGGAAACTCTCTGAAAATTGAATTCCCTTTTAATTTTCGTAAGGGATGAGAAAAGACGAAATATGAACGACGATCTTGTGTACATTAGAAAAAAATTTGCACCTTATTGCTCTAAATACTGACACGAAAATTGCCAATTTGAAGAATATTTAAATAAGAAAGAGCAAATGTAATAGAAAATTCAAAATAGTGTATATTTAGTCTACTTAGTAAATTCAGTGTTCAAATTCCTACTTAATTTAAAGTCTGAAATTTAATTTGGATATCTGGTGTCTCGAAACTGTGAGCTTAGCTCTAAGGGTGAAATACTGCACAATAATTGATTCTATCATACTTGGTTGTTCGTTTGCGATTTCACACGAAGAGGATTTAAGTGAAAATTTGAAAATTTCCTTCGGACTAACAATAAGCTAACAATTTCAACGAGTTTGTATTTAAAGCAATTTTTCGTGTTCCAAAGTAATTATCTGTTTCATTTTTGTAGAATGAGAGATCTTCGTTCTGGGCATCGATGTGGAGTTAGATTAAATTAAGATTGTTCGGTAACATGAACCAAGTTGTTTTTCTACATACACGGGAGAATATCATGCAAGAGCGAGTAAACAAAATCAATGATCTTGAAATTTACACAGCTTTCACCTTAGATTTCTCCAAGCGTCATTTAACCATCGTCAATACCGCTTTGATGATTCCTTTTCCCATTGAAAACGAGTTTACTTCCCCCATTTTGCATGCGTAAGTACACAAAGAAGTTAACAATTTAAACGAAGAAAGTAAGAAATTATAAAAAAAAAAAAATACTGAACCTGCAAGGTAGAAATTGGAACATTCTAAAATTAATAACCGATATTATAAAAAGGAATGGAGAAGTTATCGTTTACTTTTAATTGCTACTTTGTGAGAATAGTTTCGTCTAAAAATGTTTTATAGGAAAATCTGTATGTACAAGGTGGGCCACCTAATTGTCTTCTTTAGTAAATAGCTATGGTGGCATTAGAAAATTTTTATACGCAATTCGAATGGTTTCAAGGGGTGAATGCGAAGGGAGAAAAATTTGTCTACTAAACTTTTCATCTACAGAATAAACCGCGATAATTTGTCGGGAAAAAGCTTGAACACCCGTTATATAGAATACAGTAGTGCACGCATATTCGTCCGCATTTTTGCACACTTAAGCGTCCGTCCCCGCCGATTCTTGGAAATGGGACTTCGGAGTGGAGTTCGACTCCTGAATGTGAACAACTGACACTTGGTATATCGGTATTCCACTCGGACACGTCTCCTCTCTTTTCTTTAGTTAACACGTTCCGTGCCGGACCGATTTTCGGTGACTTTCAGTTCACGCCGCGCGGATCGTATGCGCCCCACGTCTTCCAATATTTACAAGATTGCAAAAATCATTGGACCGATTTTCGGTGACTTTCCGTTCACGCCGCGCGGATCGTATGCGCCCCACGTCTTCCAATATTTACAAGATTGCAAAAATCATTGTTATCGTGAAAAAGGTAACGTTCAAGATACGCGATAGAACAAAGGAAAAATGTTTGTTTCAACAAATTATCGCCGTAGTTGCACAGTTTAAGTTAGCGGAAGTAAAAAGGCCGAAATATCAAATGGCCTGAACGGAAAGTCCAGAGTGGGGCGTATGCGACCCACGCGGCACGGAACGTGTCAAATCCGCAGAAGTCACCTCCCCACTTATGTATGCACTACTGTATATCGAAGCAACCAGTATATATTTCACTATTATCAGATTTTAATCTTACGCTGTACAACAATAGATTCGAATTTTTCGAAAATTCTTTTAACAATGATTCTTGTAACAACCATCAACGAAGACGGCGACAAAAATTTCCATTCCGCGAGAGGAAGTGAGACTCTATCCTCGTCGACAATCAAATAATCGCGAAGCGATAGAAGCTTCCAGAACAAACTAGCTCGCGATCCGCGATTTCGCGCGGGAAAC